GCCTTTCTTTAGGGAATAATGCAAATGTGCTAAAATTGTGATGGTGGTTACATAGTCCGTGACTATACTAAAAAATCATTGAATTGTACTCTTTCAGTGAGCCATTTGTCTGATATTTGAATTAAATCTCAATAAAGCTATTTTTAAAAATCTGCCTACGTTGTTTTCCCCACAACCCACCAGCTAAATTTCCAGACACTTCAGTTTTTTTTATGAACAGCATGGAATAACTTGACACTTACCAATACTTTTGTTGTTCTTTGAAAATTTGGTTACTCCTCTAGCATGGTTTATTTTCTACTCTTTTATGAATTTACAGACTTAACTACTTATCCTTTATTCAGGAGACCTATGGTCAATATTTTTATTTCTTCTGCTCTCATCTTTCCTATAAATATGACCCTCTGAACTATTTTTGTGACCATAGGTTTAATCCTATTTTAATACATCTATAAAAAAAACAAAACACCTCATCGAAGAATCCACACATCGCTTAAAAATGAGCTACTGTAAAGAGGCTTATAGTGAAAAGCACAGGCTTTGGTGCCCCATACTCCCTGCTTCTCTTAAGGAACCACTTTTTAACTGATTCTGTTGGTTTCCTGGTCATTATTCCCATCTTGCTCAATAGCTCATATATTCATGTCCCAAACTGACTTCCAGCCATAATAGATGAGTAAATAGCCAGCGTATGTTTGGCCAGGAGTTTGGCCCCTCACATACTCTAGGTTGAAAATAATCTTTCCTGAGAAACTTGAAGACATTGCCTTTACCTCATTGTGCATTGTGTTATAGTTGAAACGTCTGATTTGATCATTGTCTTTATCCCAGGGTTTTAAAATTTCATAGTGACAGGCTGTTTTGTGTACAGTTTTAAAAATTCATTGTGTCGGGCCTTTGGTAGACGTTTCAGTTTAAAGACAACTGTTTCTCTTCAGCTCTGAAATTTTATGTGTGAATAATTTCTGTAATAGTGTTCTTTCCTCTGTACACCATGTTGTTTGGAGATTACAGCTAGTTGGATACAGGGCTGCCCAAACTGAATTATATCTTTCTCAGCCAGTATCCTCATATGACCCACAGGACACAGAAAGTGGTTCGAGAGATTTTCTCTCATCTTCAAAGGATGGCTTTATTCAGTACCATTGTAGATACATAGGAGAGAAATTAATAGATAACATACAGTGAATGTCTTAGGACAGGGGTCAGCAAATGTTTTCTTAAAGGGCCAGTTAGTAAATATTTTAGGTGTTGCCAGCCAGGAGGCAATAATTGAGGCTATTTTGTGGGAACTTATGTATCCATTTAAAAATATTAAAAAAATTATTATCTGATGGGCTACAGGAAAAAAAAAAAAAAAAAAAAAAAAAAAAAAAAAAAAGCAGGTGGGTGAGTTTGGCCCACATGGCACATAGTTTGCATAACCTAATTCTTCCAAGCACCTGCTCAGTAGGCAGTGAGTATAGTCTGTTTCAGTGCATTTGGCTGGGCAGGGGACAGTGGTAGGAGACAGGCCTGGAAAGACAAATTGGACTCAGATCAGAAGCACCATTCCATGCTCAGGTTTGGATTGTATCCTTTAGGCCGTTAGGAATAAGTTTTGAGCTGGCCCAAACTGCCTTTTAGGGTAAGTCCCTCCAGTTTTAATAGGAAAGATAGATTGAAAAGAGAGGATAGTTGTGGGGAAAATCCTGCCAGGAAGCTATTGGTTATGGCCTGAACCAGGACAACAGAGGCCTCCTTAGATCAGACACTATTCCTATTTTCTAAGAACATTCATTGTTTTTGTTTTATTTTTTGTTTATTATGTTTTTATTGATTTCAGAGACAGGAAAGGAGAGGGAGAGAGAGAGAGAAACATCGATGATGAGAGAGAATCATTGGTTGGCTGCCTCTTGAACACTCCCTACTGGGGATCAAGCCTGCAACTCAGGCATGTACCCTACCTGGGTCAATGCTCAACCACTGAGCCACATGGGCTGGGCTAGAATTCATTTTTATATTTAATGTCTACAGTGTCTGCCAGGTACTTTGAGAAACACTGAGACTTCTGATTTCCCCCTCAAAATGTTTTTCATAGCATTGTCTCCCTCCGTATTCCCCCAGGGACAGTCCTAGGCAGAGCTCTCATTCCCTCGGGGGTTCCGGATTAGAGAGGGTGCAGGCTGGGCTGAGGGCACCCCAACCCCTGTGATGAATTTTGTGCACCGGGCCTCTAGTTTCAGTATAAAGTATACATTATGCTTTACTGAATATATGTTATACTTCAAGTAAAAACAGTTATCCCCCAGAGTTCCGCAGTGTGGTGTCTTTGGGCACATCCCTGCAGGTAAAATCAGGATTATGTTCTCAGAAGGAAGTGAGGGTGGACATTGGGTTAGATATCTAAGTAGCTCTGTCACACAGGTTTTTATAAGGGCTATCAATACTTTTGATAGGTAAAGTATTAAGATATCACATTTTTTTTAATGCAATATATTTTACCATAGGGAAAAGTCATCCCAAATGTGAGAATTTTGTATACGTCGTCTTGTATTAGCCTGAGTAGGGAAATATATTTATCATAGGAAAAATAATTCTAGTGTTTCACTTGCTGTGTTTTTCTTTTTTACTCACACACACAGTATTTTGCTTCTGATACGTCTGGTCACCAAACATGTGGAGGTTCTTTTCCCCACACCAGGCAATTCTGTGCGACACCCAACCAAGCCGCCTACATTTTAACACAATCCTGACCCTACCTTCCGGGAAATAGTGTCAGATCCCACAGGTTCAGGGCCCAGCCCCACAAGCCTGACCCCATTTCAGATACCAGTCTCAAGTGGTAGGTCCCCAGGTTGCCCTCAACCTCTGCCTGACTTGGCTAGAAATCATGTTCCCATGACCCCCTCCTCAAGTTCCATTAATCTGCCACAACAGCTCGCAGCACTCAGAGAAACACTTACCTATGTCTGCCAGTTTATTAAAGGAAATAGTGGAGAATACAGACAAACAGCCAGGTGAGGGGACACCCAGGGTGAGGTCTGGGAGGGGACCTGTGGCGTTGGTGTGTACCACCCTTACCGTACATGGATGTGTAAACCTGAAGCTCTTCAAACTCTTTTGGGATTTTTTTTTCTGGAGGCTTCACCATGTAGGCATGATCGATCATTAATTCCATTTTCAAATCTCCTCTCTCAGGAGAATGAGGGCTGGGATTGAGAATTCCAAGCTCCCAGACATGGCTTGTTCTTTCTGGTTACCAGCCCTCATCCCTGGAGCCACCCAGAGTCACCTGATTAGAATAAAAGACACCCCTATGACCCAGGAAATTACAAGTGTTTCAGAAGCCCTGTGTCAGAAACCAGGCAGATCTCTATCTCTGTCTCTATATATCTTTAGATATATATAGGATACATTTCTATTATCTTACACATTTTAACCTGTATAAAATGTGTAAGATGGTCTATATGTATAAAAGCCTAAGTGACCATTACATTCAAACGACTAGAATGACCAGAGTGACCGGTTGGCTGGTCGCTATGACACGCACTGACCACCAACTGCCCATGGTTCCTCCTCCCAGCTGGCCAGCCCCCCAACTGGCCAGCCAACTTCCCATGGTCACTCATCACTGCCAACTGGCCCTCCCAGTTGGGGGCAGGCTGGCCAACCTCCTGGGGAACCTCCCCCCAGCTGGCCGGCCCTTCATAGGCCTTGATTGCTAGCCAGGCCAAGGGACACCATCCATGCCTGAATTTGAGCACTGGGCCTCTAGTATATGTATAAATATTATTAGAATTTTATTTGGTTTTTTTGTATCATATACTTTAAAAATATAATTTAAACATTGTTTCAATATTCTCTTAATTTCAGCTGTACAACATAGTAATTACAACATAGTAATTAGACATTATATAACTTACTAGGTGACCATCCTAATAAGTCTAGTACCCATCTAACCCCATAGTAATTGTGATAGTATTGACTACATTCCCTATTCTGTACTTTACATCCCTATGACTGTTTTGAACTGGAAATTTGTACTTCTTAATCTCTCCACCTTTTTCACCCAGCCCCCCAACTCCCTCCTATTGATGGCAACCATCAATTTGTTCTCTGTATCTATGAGTTGATTTTATTTTTTTTAATTCCACATAAAAAGTGAAATCATATGGTATTTGTCTTTGATTTATTTCAAATATTAAGTAGATAGATTTTGTTGAAATACTTCAGCAAAAATGAAAGCATCAGCTTTGAAAAAAAAAAATACTGCATGTTAATTTTTAGTCATGTGTAAAATATAAACAGTAAGCGAAAACTCAGTTTATACTTTTTGACTGCTTCTATACTTTAAAAATATATTTTTTAATTGATTTCAGAGATGAAGGGAGAGAGAGAGAGAAGCATCAATGATGAAAGAAATCATTGATTGACTGCCTCCTGCATGCCCCACACTGAGGATTGAGCCCGCAATCTGGGCATGTGCCCTAACTGGATATCAAACGGTGATCTCCTGGTTCATGGGTGGATGCTCAACCACTTGCCATGCCAGTGGGCTGTACTCTTTATAGTAGAAACAATAAATTCCTTTATTAAGTCAGTACTAAAAGGATTCAGACACTAGTTCCAATAAAAGCAACACCCAGTCTAGGTAGTTCTAATCTGATAAATATGAAGTAAGTAAATAAAGTTGATAATAAAAGTTTTAAATCTAGTCTATATTTTCAAGTGCAGGCAAACACTTAAATAAATTTTTAATTTTTTTTTTACTTCCATTTATCCAATTTTGGAAAAATTGGATAAATATGCAACTAAATCCACTTTTCTGTTATGGTAAAACCATTGGAAGACGGGGGACGTGTGACCGGCCTGCTTTTGTATTAAGTATCCCCTGTAATTGAAAATCCCAGTATCTTGGAAAGAATAGGAATTAGGAAATGGCAACCATTTCAGGCATTTATTCAGTCTCTGTGGGGATGTCCGCTTGTCATTAAAGGATGGTTGTTTCTCTTCCTTAGGTCCATCCTCAGCAGCACCGGCTTCTTTTTGAAGTATTTGATGAGAATCGGCTGGTAAGTTTTATTGTACGGGTGAGAGATATGAAGCAAAGGTGTATTTCAGCCAAGCAGCAAGGAAACGTGGTTTGGGAATCTGTGACAATATGGAGATGATGTGGGATGGTTATGGAGAATCTGGGCAATACGGTGAGATAGCTACAATTGTTTTTCTCTTTCCATTCTCCTCCCAGGTCCCTCTCCTGATTGTCAATTCTCAGTAGGTTCAAGGTCTTCCTCAAAGCCTGTTGTGCCAGGAGATGACAGGAAAGCCAGCCCCTTTGTCTTGCCTTCTCCATCTCTCATCCTTGTACCCTGGTCAGTGGTCCAGGGAGTCTTGGGTTATGTCTCCTCATTCCAGTGGATTTTGGGGAGTTACCTGTATCCGGTTACAACATCCTATCCACTCTCTTATCCTCACTCAGCTTTGGAGGAAAGCTATCTTCTTTACATCAGTAAAATTAAGTCCTCTAAAAGATCATCAGCTCTTACAGAAGCAAAAGGCAAAATTAAAACTGACTTTTTTTTTTTAATGATAGTTATAATTTCTGATTTCCTAAAGACTATCTTGACGCTCTTTCCTCTTCCTAATTTTGTCTCTTTGGGATCCTATTTCAAACCTTCTTACTCATGTTAAACCTGTAAAATTTGAATATGAAGGTATAAGAACAGTGGTATGTGTTCAAAGCTTATCTGTGATTAAACAGAAGCATCAAGAAATTAAAGTTTTATTCATTTTAACAAAGACACTGGGTTTTGGTTTTTTTTTTTTTTTTAAAGAATCTGTTTAGTATTAGACTACAGAATATGTTTTTTTCTTATATAAATTGTAACTATACTATAACTGAAAATATTTCAAATTAATTCTATTAATTAGGCCTGTACTATGCAGTTGACCTTTTTTTGCTACCAAAGTGGATTTCATTACTGACTGGCAATCTGATATTTTAAGGCTGAGTGGCAGATGTAGATGATTTGGTTATCAATATGGTCAGTTGCAGAGGTTTGTTTAAAAAAAATATTTACCCAAGGATATTTTTTTCAATAGATTCTCAGAGAGAGAGAGAGAGAGAGAGAGAGAGAGAGAGAGAGAGAGAAACATTAGTGTGAGAGAGACACATTTGTGCCGCACCAGCCAAGGGTTCAGGGAACCTGAGGGAGGGCTGGTGAAGGATGAAGAAAAGACAAAGAGAATAAGCTGGGTCTAGGTGGCTCTTCCGTGTGTGACTGAGACCACAAAACAGATCCACACTGCAAGCTGATGCTTTATTTATAGTCAGAGGTAAACAAGGTAATTTACAATGTTCTTGTAAGTTTCACTTGTTTTGGCAGCACTTGCTGCACCTCCCACAGCCCCTTACCTACCCAGGGAAGATCTAGGGAACAGTCACAAGATCAAGCTTAATTATGCTAAGAGGGCTGTACCCTCTCAGCTGGGACTTGTTTGTGGCTTTGCCTAGGTCAGTCCAAGGCTTAACCCTATAATTGCTCCCTACACACATTGACCGGTTGTCTCCCAGATGTGCCCCTACCAGAGCCAGAGGTCAAACCAGTAACTGAGATAGATGCTCTTGGCCAGGAATTGAACCTGAGATCCTTTGGTCCCAGGGCTGACATTCTATGCATTAAGCCAGTGGTCGGCAAACTCATTAGTCAACAGAGCCAAATATCAACGATTGAAATTTGTTTTGAGAGGCAAATTTTTAAAATGTAAACCTCTTCTGATGCTACTTTTTCAAAATAGACTCTCTCAGGCCATGGTATTCTATGGAAGAGCCACACTTAAGGGGCCAAAGAGCCACATGTGGCTCATGAGCCACAGTTTGCCAACCACTGCATTAAGCCAAACCATCCAGGGCGATTGCAGAGCTTTTTTTAGTTTATATTTTTTGCTTTTAACATAGAATAGCGAATGTTTTTTCCCCTCTGTCTCCACAAAGCTGTTTTCCTTCTAGATAGGGCCAGATGAAATTTAGTACTGACATTTTAAAATTGTGAATATACATACAAAAAGTATAACATAATTTTTATTTTAAATAATAAGACAAATATCTGTGCACTGTATTACTCAACTAGAACATTACCAAAATCTTCAAACCCCCCTGTATCCCTTCCCAATATCATCTCCTTTTCTTCCCCCACAGGTAGTATATCACCTTAAATATTGTGTTTATCATTTTTTGCTTTAAATATTTTTATCATGCATATATGTATTCCTAAAAAAACATAGTTTCCTGCCGAAACTGCTTTGGCTCAGTGGATAGAGCGTTGGCCTGTGGACTGAAGGGTCCCAGGTTCGATTCTGGTCAAGGGCATGTACTTTGGTTGCGGACACATCCCCAGTAGGGGGTGTGCAAGAGGCAGCTGATTGCTCATCAATGTTTCTAACTCTCTGTCCCTCTCTCTTCCATTCTGTAAAAAATCAATAAAATATATATTAAAACACACATACACAAAAAAATAGTTTTATTTTGCATATTTTTAAATTTATTAAAACAGTATCACTCTGTATATTCCTCTGTGGCATCGTTTTTGGTTAATGTTATATTTGTCAGATTGATCCATAGTACATTTTCACTGATGCATAGTTTTCCTTAATCTGATAATCCCATAATATCTGAATTTATGCATTTATCCATCTTAATAATGTTAGTGTTGTTCTAGTTTTTTTTAATTTTAATTTTAATTTATTTATTTATTTGTGTTGTTTTTTTTTTCTATTACCAATTGATAAAAATTCTTGCTATGTTTCCTGAGCATATCTCTAAGATTCATATTTAGGGTTGAATTGCTGGGTTGCAGTATTACTGTGTTACTTTTCTGTTGTTATTGACACTGAGGTGAATTTCTCCCTGATTCTTGGGTGCATTCTCTATGTGTTGTTTGCATTGTCCACAAGGAGGAATAGCTCATATTTGTGCTTTTCACACTAGTTGTCTAGGCTTTTTTTTGCCAGTAACTTCAGTAGGACTCTTTCTTTGTAGCCAAAATTGACATTCTCATGTTCTGATCGGTGCATTAAACTCATTAAGTGTTTAATATGGATAGAGTATTTCACAGGGAATCATGATGTGTCCAAAGGAAAAAAAGAGCATTGTCTCTGATATTAACAACGGTATATTTCTGGAATTGTAAGCATGATATATAAAAAACTTTAAAAACCTTTAAAGCTGGAAACAAAAACAAAAGAATGCATTGATTGGGATAGTATAGATTTCCAAACCAAGTCCTACCTGCTTGTAGCCCTGGACAAATCATTCAATCCTTCTGAAAATATTTTCTCGTTTAAAAAAATGCTGATAACAACATTTGCCCTACCTATCTGATAAGTATATTGTGATGACAAAATTAGACATTGGCTATCAAAGCACTCAGAAAATTTTCCATCATGATTCAAAAATAAATTGTGATTTGACATTCATGGACTCACTCTTTAATGGCTCTCTGATTCCATATATTTCGTATTAACCAAAGCATACCATTAAAATGTCTGCTGTGCTACATACTCCGCTGTGCCTTAGAAACACAGCTTTCCTCAAGCTCACTTTACTAGAAAAAGGGAGCAAGAAATAATTAGAACAGGGTGGTATGTATCATTCTAATCCTCTGATTTGTTGCTAGTTCCAGCAAGAAACTGAAATGTATTAATACACATTACCTCAGATGGCATTACAAACTATAGCCATTTGTAGAGTAACAGGCTTGATCATATAGCAATAAATGTTCTATTCCACTGTACATGTCATTTTACCTTTGTTGTCCTGTAGCATTCAGATCTAAATTAAGAATGTATTCGTTTCCTAGAAAATTCTCTTTGGAAATGTACATTGAAGAGAACAAACATGATTTTTTAAAGAATATTTTTATGGATTTAAGAGAGGAAGGGAGAAGGAGAGAGAGAGATAGAAACATCAATGACTGGCTGCCTCCTGCATGACCCCTACTAGGCGTGTGCCTTGACCTCTCCTTACATGAGACAACATTCAACCAACTGAGTCCCGTTGGCAAGGGCCACTGCGAAATTTTCAAGCATCATTTTTTTGTCCAGCTGTAGTGCTTTTTGTATTTCTTTAGAGTAGGAGCTGGATCAACTTAAAAAGTCCTATATACCTCCTTATTTAAGTTTATTCCTAGCTATCTTAATTTTTTTTGGTACGATGGTAAATGGGATTTTTTAAAAAATATATAGATTTTATTGATTTTTTTACAGAGAGGAAGGGAGAGAGATAGAGAGCCAGAAACGTTGATGAGAGAGAAACACCGACCATCCGCCTCCTGCACACCCACCACTGGGGATGTGCCCACAACCAATGCACATGCCCTTGACCGGAATCGAACCTGGGACCCTTCAGTCCGCAGACCAACACTCCACCAGTGAGCCAAACCGGTTTCGGTGGGATTGTTTTTTTAATCTCTCTTTCTGTAAGTTCACTTTTGGTGTATAAAAATGCCATATATTTCTTGGTGCTAGTTTTGTATCTTGCTACATTGTCAAATTCATTTATTAAGTCTAATGATTTTTTGATGGAGTCTGTAGGGTTTTTTATGTACAGTATCATGTCACCTGCAAATAATGACAGTTTTACTTCTTCTTTTCCAATTTGGATACCTTTTATTTCTTGTCTAATTGCTATGGCTAGTACTTTTAGTACTATGTTGAATAGGAGTGATAAAAGTGGGCATTTCTATCTCATTCCTGTTCTTAGGGGAAATGGTTTTGGGTTTTGCTCATTGAGTATGATGTTGGCTGTAGGTCTGTCATATACGGCTTTTGTTATGTTTACGTATGTCCTCTCTCTTCCCATTTTGCTGAGGGTTTTTTGTTTTGTTTTTGTTTTTGTTTTATCAAGAAAGGATGTTGGATTTTGTCAAATGCTTTTTCTGCATCAATTGATATGACTATGTGATTTTTCTCAATTTGTTTATGTGATGTATCACGTTTATTGATTTGTGGACATTGAACCATCCTTGCATCCCTAGGATAAATCCTACTTGGTCTGAGGAGGATAGGTTTTAGT